CCACGCCGGCTGGGCAGCGCCGAGACCGGCAGAAGTCGAGCCGGGGAGGTCTTCCGCTTTCGCTTCCAGGGGAGCCGGTGGGCTCGGGACCCCTCCCGCTGAGGGTTGCTGCAGTGGGTGGAGACCGCGGGGCAAGCCTAAAGAAGTGGGGGGGCCAAAGTGGCCGTGGAGGACGAGCTGGGTCGGAGGCGGCAGGACGAGGCGACCGGACAGCAGTTGGCGAGAGAGATCTATCTGTGCAGGGAGACCGGATACTCTCTTCCTCAGCTCGGAGCGGGGGGGCGCGCGGGGGCGGTGAAGTTGGACACGAGGGATCACTGACACTTCGTGAATGGCACCGGGCAGGTGAAGAGGAGCTGAGGTCTCCCGAAGGCGCCGAGAGGGCAGCCGGAGGAGGAGCTGTCAAGCCCTGGCAGAGAGCCTGGGCGGGATCCAGAGCGACTTGAGGCGGGGAAGGCGCAGAGGAGCCCAGAAGGCTGCAGTCGTCCCGCAGGAGGAGAAACAGAACAGGGACAAGTGGCGCTTCTTCACTGGTTCCGGTGGCAGGAAATCTCGGGGCCATGGCTGTCACTGAGGCTTGCCTCTCTCTGCTTGTGATGGTGACTACCATGATGGTCACGGCTGGCTGCAGGCAATTGGCCTGCCGCTCTGTACCCCCTAAATCCCATGCCCATTGCTTCTTCCTGGAGTTAACTGGTGCCTTCCAGATATGTGCTTGTACTCACGAGCTTTGCCTGCTGGCTGATCTGCCACCCAAACCACACATGGTGCTCACCCTCGTTTTCATCTTCACTGCTCTCCATGGCTTGACTTTGCCAGGCAGTACCAACAACCCCTCCAGCAGCTTTCAACTTCTCTACAAGGGTAGGATCCCAGTCAAGACCTGGTGGCTACACACTTCAGCTCAGTTCACTGGAGCAGTCATGGCTAAGGTCTACATCAAATTAATCTGGAGACTGGGGATCCTACCAGTGCATTCAAAGGCACTGGCAGAGAACTGCAGCCACCCCATCCAAACCACCCTAGCAAATGCTTTCATCCTGGAGCTTTGCTTCTCCTTCCTGCTCCATCTGACCTTACTGCAGCTTGAAACAATGAATCACAACACAAAAATCCATCTAGTCGCTTTGCTGATCACCGTGTTGGTATATGAAGGTTTGTTTATTTGCTTATACTTTATTTTATTCTATTTTAGTTTATTTGTACCCCACCGAAAAAGGTGCTCAGAGTGGCGATCAAAACATTGCCTTCATCAAAGCATAACATTTTAAAAAAATAAATTAAAAACAAAATTAACAACATGGCACTAGAAGATGTAGCCAGCACCCAACTGGTTAAACCCTCTTTAGCCACAGATCAGCTTAACTACCAAAAGCCTGCCTGAAGAGGCTTACTTTCCTTTGCCTTCCACTGGAAATACAACAGGAGCAGACCTAACCTTCCTTGACAGGAAGCACCAGAGTCTGGAAGAAAGAGTGTTTTGTTACTCCCCCCAACACACAATTGGGCTATAAACCAACTTTCTATGATCATCAGTAAGTATGATATTGTATAATCGGCTTGATATTGTTGATCTAGATTCAGTTTTAATATGGTATTTCTGACAAGGCCCTAAACCACTGAGCATAACTAAAATGGTACTCGGTTTCCACTGTAGTTCTGCTCAGTGGTTTTCATTTTTTCTTTCAGAATATGTTTTCTACATTGAACTGTTTGGCATTGGGCCACAGAATCTCTGTGCATTTGCAGAAACTTTATCAAGGATGAATCCTCAGCCTGCACAGGGCTTTGGCCCAGCTGTTGTTGCTCCCTCTGAGCTACCCTTTTGACCTGTAATGCACCAGCAGTACCTATGGAAAGGTCAACAGCGGTAGGCAAGCACGCTTTTATAACCATTTGTTTACCTTTGCCAACATTCTCTGTAAGGACAGTTTCCAAAAGAATCCACTGGTCATGTGGACCTGCATTTGAAAGCTACTGGTTTAGCCAAACTCTGCTCCCCCAAGAAGCTTGTCATAGTAATTAAAATAACATCTGTGTCTTCTCGTAGAGGCCAGGCAGGGCGACATACTCTTCCCACTGACCTGACTATCAGGACAGAGACTTCTTGCTCCAGAGGAGAGTTGAGCTGAAGTCTGTGACACCAGCGCCCCCAAGACAGCTGTGTATTTGCTTAGTACACTTAAAGGTGGTGGGAGGAGTATGAAGAGAAATCTATTTTTCCCCTCCATTGTTCTGATTCTATTATTTTTGCACAAAGCAAACAGAATATTTTCTTTGCTTGTTTTGGATCTGGGCTCTCATTTCATGTCCTTCCTATGCTGTCCCACCCGGTGAAGAAAAAGTGTGGGATTTTGTTTTGGGGCTGAGTATCATAAAGCGTTACTGAAGAGAGCAGTAGCTTTTCTTTCTCTGCTTTTGCTTGTGGATTTTTCTTACATCCCGCCAAGGTTATTCCTCCATTGAAAAGCATTGTGCACGGATAGCCTTTGAAGCAAATAAGAAAAACATGACCACTAAACTTCTCTAGCTTCAATGAGTACTGAGCTTAGGAAATCTTACTTTATAAACTATGTTTCCCACAATTCCCATGGTGGCTGTGCGATTCTGAGACTCATCGTCTGAAGAGTAAATTTTCCAAGCCCCAATTCAATTAACAGCTTTACTACCTGTCTATCCTAGTTGGTAGGAAGCAGAGCAGATATAATGGATACCTACAAGAGAGCTGCTAATATTACACTTGTGTAAGTCTCTTTAATTCTGGCATGGCTTAGCCTTTAAGGAATGTACTCTTTTTTGTAGTTTCTGTATTCTTTCCATATCAGTTTTGTCAATTAAATTGATTAGAGCATCTCAGTTTGAAAACAGTAGTTATTGCAGACATGAGTATGAAATTAACATTTTGCTTGAGCCTCGGAACCTCAGTTGCTAGAGTTTCAAAATCACAGTTCAGTCCAGTTTGTCTCTCTCTTAAATACATCACATGACTGGCACAAAGGACTTAAGTGTGAAATTTTAAACATGGCCAGTGCTCAAGGGGAAAGATCCACTTCTGCCTGTTCAGCACAGATCTTTTAAAATTTGCCTTTGTTAACGTATGTTGGCACAGATCAGGAAACAAAACAACACATGAGGCAGAAGGGTTGCTGTTGCTGCAATGTTGCACATTTAGCAAGGAAAAAGGACCACCTTGGGTTCCTTTTAAGGAGAAAGGTGGGATAACAATATTTTAAATAAATATAAATAAATAAGGAAGGCCTGTCTGTAGAACAGATCCCCAAAGCCATTCACTTTAAAGTCAGAAGCAATAAAAGGCTCTGATTCCACCGTGACTGAAGTCTTGAATTCTGCAATATTCTACCAAGAAAGCCTAGGAATGAAACTGGGGGTTTGTCCTGTTGGTTAGCATAGTAAATTGCACCAGAGCAGGCCCATTGAGTCAACAGAGGAGTCAACTCCTCCATCAGCTTCATGGGCCTACTAGCTGCAACTTATGCTAGCATAATAAATCACAATTAGAGTAGGTCCATTGGAATCACTGGACAAGCCGACTGAACCAAAACCTCATGGATACAAAGGGCCTACTCTAGTGCTAAGCAACAGGATTTTGGCCATTCAGTACATGTTCAGAAATCAGACACCTAGGTAAGCACTTCATTCCATGCTATATCTATACAGGCTAGCCTTTTACTGCTTGGAAAGAAAGAGAAAAGTTTGTAGAACATCTATACAAGATGCGTACTTTGCTTTTCCACCTTCTGGTGAAATGAAAGTGATCAACTATTGACTTAAGGCGATAAGAACTTTTGCACAGGGAGTGTACCATGAGAATGCTTAGTTCTTTTTCCATGGTCCAAAGTGTCTGCAGCAATATAGACTGCATTCACTTGTTTACTGAGAATGTGATTACACTGTAAATGCCAAGCTATGCTTTGAGCCTTGTGGCGCAGTGGTGAAACTGCCGTGCTGCAACCAAACTGTTCTCATGACCTGGGGTTCAATCCCAGGTAGCCAGTTCAAGGTTGATTCAGCCTTCCATCCGTCCATGGTCAGTAAAATGAATACCCAGCTTGTTGGGGGGGGGGAAGAGGCAATGTGTAGCCTGCATAATTGTAAATTGCCCAGAAAGTGCTTTAAGTACTAAGCAACGCCCTTTATAGTTAAGTATTAGAAAGTTCCTACAAGGATGACTGACTAAATGTGATGAATCAGAGAGACAGAATGGCACTGATGTTCCAAAACACACTGAGAGTGTGATGAAGTCAGTCCAGGCAAAACAGGAACCGGCATGTTTAAGTAGCCATTTCAGGAATTTATCTCTTGTAGGCTGAAGGCACTGAAACAGTGGCCAGAATCCAACTAAATGTTTAGACCAGTGTTAAGTGCAACAGTGTAACTTGGAGAAAATTAATGCCCAAATATAACTATGAAAAATTTTATCTGCAAATACTAGACAGAGAGGACAGACCCTGACTGAATTTGGGATTGCAGCCCTCTTGTGTGACTCGACATGTACCTAGGAATTCAGTTGGGGACTTGTCACCTAGCCTCTGTTTGCCACTCTTACGCTGGTGTAGTTATTTAGTTGGATTCTGGCCATTCCATAGGTTAGAATGCCATAGCGTGTAATTAAAAAAATACTTTGTTTGTTTCATCTTTTAGGTGAACATTTATGTTCCAGAATAATTCAGTGTTCGGTAAGGCTACATCTCGTAGCTGAGGCTAGAGCTTAGAAAAGTGAGACCATGAATTCTCCAGTCAGTATGGTAATCCTAGCCTTGGATTCCTAGGAGCTGTAGTCCTGAACAGTAACATTCACCTTTTGTTCCAAGCTAGTGTCTTCTCTCTGTCCAGCTTTTGCAAATTGAATTTGTCCTAATTATTAAATTGCGCAGTGGTAAGATCAATTAAGGCATGGAGAAATGCTTAATGACCAGCACTAATACACGTCTACCTATTGTTGTTGAGTTCTTGGGTGTTCACTTATGTCATTTCCATTTCATGCTCTGTGCCTTGACAGTCAGCTGAGATGTTTGAAAACTGCAATTTGGGCAAGAAAAAAAGGGACTATTGCAGCACAAATAAGGCCAACTGATTGTTATTCAATGAAATACATAGAAGATACTAGAAAATGGAAAAATTACGTATCTGTAATGAAACAGTATGGAAGGTCTGCCCTGGCAACTTTTGCAGAGAGCAAAAATGACCTTTGGAAGTCAGACTGTTTTCACTGGGTTCAATCCAAACTTAGTTGTTCCTATAGTAGACTCACTGAAACCAAGGTAACAAGTCATGTATGACTGAAGCCTCATGTATTTCACTGGGTCTTGACTGTAGATATGATTAAGGATGAACCCAACCTCTTAAAATGGAGCAAAACTTTGAATTGAATGTTCCTGTTTTTTTCTTGGCAACTTGATACATTGTTGAAAATCTTTTACTATTTGAAAGATTTTTCTGACATGCAAATGTTTTCTCTACCTTAGCTCTCCTAATGCACTTTCATGGTCTACAATCGGAGTCAAATAGATTTCATAGAAACAAGAAACAATTGTTTAATTTAAAGACTATAATGTAATTAAATATAATTTATAGCACAGAGGTTCAGTTTCCACAATAGATAGCTGCCTTATGTCAGTTCAGACTGTTAATACGTCTACACCAAATTTTATCTATTCCACCTGGCAGTAGCTCTTCAGAGTGCCAGAAAGAGAGTCTTTTCTCATTAGCTGCTGTGGGATCTTGTTAAATGAAACTGTTTGAAGTTGAATCTGGCATCTTCTGTATACATAGCAGACACGCTATGATTCTATGACTATTCCTCTTGCTGCCTCAAAACTACATTATTTGATTTACAAACATGTGCAATGCATTCTTAGTCTTGTTTGAAGTTGAACCGGCATCTTCTGTATATACATAGCAGACACACTATGATTCTATGACAATTCCTCTTGCTGCCTTAAAACTACTGTACGTTATTTGATTTACAAACATGTGCAATGCATTCTTAGTCTCCATTTGTTGTTACGTGCCTCTAACCTATGGTGATCCTAGGAATTCATGATCTCAAAATGTTCCGTCCTCAACTGCCCTGTTCAGCTCTTGTAAACTCAAGCCTGTGGCTTCCTTTAGGGAGTCAGTCCATCTCATGTTTGGCCTTCCTTTTTTCCTGCTGCCTTCTACCTTTCTCATAGTAAAAAATAATTCTGAAGTTTACCTGGACATATTTTGGCAACAGAGAAAAATTATGCTACTCTCACCCACTCTCCATTTCAAAAAGCTGTTCTCATCTAATAATTTTTTTCCTGTCCTTTGAAAACCTCATCAGATATAACTCAGGCTTCTTTTTCAACTTTCTTTCTGTCCAGAGAAACATGTTCATCCATGACCATTTTCATCCATGACCATTTTCATTCTTCTTCATACCCCTGGCCTTTAGTCCTGGGTCTGATACTCTTATCCTATTTTGCACTCTAAGCTCATGTTCTGGCTTACCTGTATACTTCAAGGTTTAATTCCTTTTCTCCCCAAATGCGACTCTCAGGAAAAGCAATCTTCTGCAGTTAAAATATTGAGAACCACCAACCTTCCATGCTCTACCTTCGGTTTGAAAACCCCAAATATTTCTTCTTTATTTAGTCCTGGGTCTGATACTCTTAGTCCTATTTTGCCTTCTAAGCTCATGTTCTGGCTTACCTGTATACTTCAAGGTTTAATTCCTTTTCTCCCCAAATGCGACTCTCAGGAAAAGCAATCTTCTGCAGTTAAAATATTGAGAACCACCAACCTTCCATGCTCTACCTTCGGTTTGAAAACCCCAAATATTACCTAGAAGAACATCTGGCATCCGGCTCAGCCATATAACACTCTTGGACTGCCACTTACACCAGGGGTTTTCAGTATATCATGCAACTCTGCTCTTCTGCCCAAATATTACTTACTAGCTAACTAGGTTAGTTTTAAAGTGGTTCGAATTTATAGCTGGCAGATGTATAAGAGGATGGTAGAGGCCAGCGCAGAAGAACATCTGACATCCAGCTCAGCCATATAACACTCTTGGACTGCCACTTACACCAGGGGTTTTCAGTATATCATGCAACTCTGCTCTTCTGGCTAAATATTACTTACCAGCTAACTAGGTAGTTTTAAAGTGGTTCAAAATTATAGCTGGCAGATGTATAAGAGGATGGTAGAGGCCAGCAGTCCTGGTCCAAGCGCTCTCTTGCAAGCTAAAAACAATGGCCAAGCACCGTGCGTGGTCTGTCAAAAACGCTCTTGGTCCAAGCGCTCTCTTGCAAGCAGAGAGGTTAAAAACAATGGCCGAGCACCCTGATAGGAAGCCAGGATGGCACAATTTAGAGCAATAGCCCTAACAAGCTGAGAGATAAAGATACTTTCAGACTCCCACTGTTTATACCTTGATAGACTGCCACCGCTCTGTAGAGTCCATGCATGTTTGTTTAAAGCGTTAGTGGCAAGGTGTAATCTTTAATAACAAGACAGATGTTTTTCTCCCCGGGCAGCCACTTTTGCTGAGTCATTAACTGAACTGAAGTTTGCGAAAGCCATTGGATTTCAGTTATGTAATGACAATGATACTAATCCTGGTTCATGGATTGGACTGCTGACTCAGGAACTGTTGGAAACAAGTTTGCGACGAGCCACTGAACAGTAAGAAAAATGGATGTGAGCCACCTTGGGTTTTTCTTAAAGAGAAAGGCGGTTGAAAATATTTTAAATAAATTAAATACTGTAAATATTAGCACACACACAAAAAAACTAGCAGCACGCTACCCCACGGGGATCCTGCCAGGATGAACTGGAGGCTTTGTAGAGCGTATTCTACACAAGAAGCATCACAACCTTCCTAGTACTGATTTTTGTATAATAACAAACATTGCTGTTTTCAAGAAACGGCCGATTGCTGTCTTCCCTAGCCTTTGGAATCTCTTCCATGTGGGAGTTTGCCCAGAATCTTCAGAGCAACTTGCAAATGTAAAATACATTGATTTGGTTCTGATGTATCCGTTTGGTTTTCAGCAAAGACTTTGCTCAGCATTATGAAACGTGTAAAACAATAACACCACAGGGCGACAGCTAACTATCAAGGAGGGAAGACGATTTTAACAAGACCACATACTTTACAAGCAAAAATGGTGACAGGGCTTCAGAGCCTCATCAGAGAGGGGACGCAGGCATTTTTAGCCCAAACACCTGGCTTGCCAACAACATAGGCAGGTTTTGCTATATAAAACAAGAGTATATGTGAGCTTTCAAAACAAATCTGTCTCAGCATGGGAGGAGCACAGGGCTCACGACAGCACAGACCACTCCTGCCTCTTCACTGTAGTTTCTTTTGAGGCTTTCTAATGTTAAACAATTGGGAGGAAAGCGATGACAAACCTAGACAGCATCTTAAAAAGCAGAGCCCTCACCTTGCTGACAAAGATCCGCATAGTCAAAGCTATGGTTTTTCCAGTAGTGATGTATGGAAGTGAGAGCTGGACCATAAAGAAGGCTGACCACTGAAGAATTGATGCTTTTGAATTGTGGTGCTGGAGGAGGCTCTTGAGAGTTCCCTGGACTGCAAGGAGAACAAACCTATCCGTTCTGAAGGAAAACAACCCTGAGTTGATTTCCTTCAACTCATAGTACAATTTAATTGTAGCCAACCCTGGTTGGCTACAATTAAATTACATTGTTGGTTATGATGTACATGACTGAGAATGACAGATCATGAAGCTGAGGCTCCAATAATTTGGCCATCTCATGAGAAGACTCCCTGGAAAAGGCCCTGTTATTGGGAAACTGTGAAGGCAAGAGAAGGGGACAACAAAGGACAGGATGGCTGGACAATGTCATCGAAGCGACCAACATGACTTTGACCCAACTCCGGGAGGCAGTGGAAGACAGGAGGGCCTGGTGTGCTCTGGTCCATGTGGTCACAAAGAGTCAGATATGACTTAACAACTAAACAACGTTAAACAAGGCTGGGAAGCCTTCTTCATGAGACTAGTGAGTGGACAGTTGTGGCAAGTGGACCATTTCTGGACAACTAAGTAACGTAGGTACAGTATATTAGTACTGCTAGCAATAGCTGCTCCCTACACAGAATATTTAACACTCTATGGTTTTACTAATAGCTAGGTATCTGGTACTTTCCTTTCTAACAACCATGGGTTTTAAAAGTTAAATGACGACTCATAAAAGGACATTTCTTCTTATAGGAGGACATCTCACAGGAGCCATATTTAACCCAGCTCTGGCTTTTTCCATGCACTTAAGTTGCTTCTCTGAAAAATTTTGGAATTACATATTGGTGTACTGGATAGCACCCTGCATAGGTAAGTGCTTTTTAAAAAAACTAAATATCTGTTTAGGAGAATCCAAATCAATGCATCTCGCTGTAAGAAACCAAAGCTGTGGAGCAGAGCTCAAGGCATATCTTTTTGTGATCACATGCTCTGGAATCCCTGAGCTAGACATGCTGCTCAAGTAAAGGATCTGGGACTTACAATCTGAAAATGTTTCCAAGCTCTGCTGTACAATGATTAGGATATACCTTTGGTTAAGCATGAGAGCATATCGAGAGTTTGCTAAAGCAGGGCCCACACTTGCTCCATAGAGATTTACTGTTAGAAAATAATGAGGGCATTTGGCTACAATTAAATTACAGTACATTTTTAGTTATGATGTGCATGACTGAGAATAATATTCAGTTTGCAGAGCTCCTCCCTCCCTCATTGTAGGATTATGCCTTTGACTGTTTCAATCTAGAATGATCAACTTCAGCCCTCCAGGTGTCGTTGTAGGGCATCAGGAGGTGCATCTCTAAAAGCCGTATCCCTTTCCTCAAATTCCAGACAAATAAATAAATGAGCAGTCTTTAAGAGTGCCTGAATCCAAGCCATTTAAGTCTTGAACTGAGCTTGAAAACAGATTGGCAGCTAGTGCAGATGACAACCATCTGATGCAAGTTGATATTATATCTCCATTAACAATCTAGCTGCTTTGTGTGAACCAACTGAAGTTTCCTGTCATTCTGTGGCTGTCATACAACAGGCCCACTTTTGCATTTCTAAGGATCTCGGTTCTACTTTCCTGCCCTGGCATCCTTTCAGATATTTCATTGTGAAAAATGCAGTTAAAAGCATCAAAAATGTATAGGGTGGTGTTAAACATTCTGGAGAGTTGTGTGAGGGCTCCATCCTATTTAGAAGGTTAATTGCTGATCCCGGGGGCTCCTAGGAATGTCAGTTCTTAGTTTTCATTTATTCTTTCTTTACTATGAATATAATTTTCCATGGGAAATCAATTTTTAGTGGTATGTTGGTGGGAATGTGATGTGGGTCAGAGCTGCAAAAGCCATCAAGGGGGTGGGTGGGGTTCATTTGGTACACCCCTGCTCTAAAATGCATGTACACAAAATAGGAAGTGTGGTGTCCTTATAGGCAATTCCAGCCAGCCACCATCCTGTGTCCGGTCTTACATAAGAACATAAAAAGGATCCCTCTAGGGTCCCTCTAGTCCAGCTCCTTGTATCTCACCGTGGCCCCACCAGATGCTTCTGGGAGCCCATGAGACAATGAGAGAACTCTCTCCTAATACCCCTAACCCTGCATCTGGCCTTTGGAGGTACCTTCCTTCAAAGCCTGGAGATGATACATCTCCATCATGGCTTGTTGTCACCTGTGACGGACTTCAGACAGTTCCTTAAATGTTATTCATTTTTTTCATCATTTCAGGGTCTGTGTTGGTGGTCATAGCATGGGATGAAGTCCTTCCCTTACTACGCAGAGAAATGTAAACTGGTAGAAAGAAGCTCAATAAACTGTTAACAAAACGGATTCAGCCACAGGCTATGCAGAAGACAGACAGCACACTTGAATCCATCTTTGAAATGTTTATTTTTGGAACATTCTTATACCATTTTATAATACAGTATTTGCTGGTACCCTGAAAACAGGATTGATATATTTTTGAAACTGAGTCATTTATTTCAATCTGATAACTTTAACTTCGACATTCCTTTTTGACTTACCCTTTGACATTTCCCCCTTTTTGCCTTCCTCCCATCTGTTTGTGCAATTCATATGGTTCAGCTCATCAATTCTGGGAAGGAAGCAGCCTCAAGTTCCTTACCTGCACCTTGCCCATCCTCCTAATTCTTTAGAATGCAGGCTGTTTTCTTAAGCCTCATCCCAGGCAGCTCTCCAGCTGCTAATTATCTAGATACAACCTAATTACTTCTGCTCCCTTCCCTGAATGACAGCTGTGCACACTTGCAATTTGAGATGGGCATGACCTATTCATCTCAATTCGTCCCAGTTCGTCAAGGCAATAGCACAGATGTTGCTGCTCCTCTTTCCCCTCTCCTCAGCCAATCAGCTAAACATCAGGCCCAGTGTGCTTGTTTTTCTCCACCTCCTTGGCTAATCTTCCAATCAGGAGCAAGAGCACAGACTTCTTTGCCCCACTCTTTTGTCTGAGTGAACAATCAACCAACAGGGCGGGGCAGAAAAGCCTGAGCTCTTGCAGAGACTGGGAGATCAGTTGAGGTGGTGCAGGCAGGTAGGATGCTGGTCCTGGCGAGGGGATGATTGAACTGGAGGTGGTGGAAGAGTGGAGCAGCAGCCCCTGTCCTGCCGCCTTGATGAACTGGGACAAATTGAGATGAATAGGTTCATGCCCATCTCTAGCTGCAATTATTTCAAAGAAATGATAATCCCAAATAATATTCACTGACATGATTTTACAAAGCAGACAAGGACGAAAACCATGTCATGTTAATGATTTTGGACTAGCAAATTGTAGAAATGTTACATCTCATGCCAACCTGTTTTATGTTCATTTAATGAAATAATCTGCGAACTTAGCATTCCCCCAAGGACCCCCACAGACTAGCATAGGCATCCTTCAGTCTCGAGAGACTATGGTAACATGCTCTGAACCGAGGAGTGTCATCTCCAGAGCATGAAGCCTGGATAAAGTAGTATGAAGGATAGGCTGTTACCCAAGCAGCAAATCCCCCTTCTCCACATTGCTGAAATGGTCCAATGGAAAGGCAAGAACCAATACAACTGGTTCCAGCAATGTAGCAGGAGTTGGCAGAATAACACATGCTGCCTTCGGGACTCCAGCTCCGGATTTTGCCTCGAGGTTAACTCCTGAAGCCTTTTCCATGAGTGGATATAGCCACAAGGCAGTGGAGGTTTGAAATCGGAGTTTTCCTTCTCCTAGATGGGCTGCCTTCCATGGCTGACGAGCCCCACCTACCACACTAGGAATATATAGAATGCTAGCTACCCTTTTCTGTCCCACCATGGATAAAAGAAAGTTCGCATAGCATTCCTAGGTATTGAAGTACACCACAGACTATGTATGCACATTTTATAGCAGTTAATTGGTTTCACAAATGTTGCCAGCAGTTTGTGCCTTTCATGATGCATTTATACAAAATACTAGAATATAATTAAAGGTCACAAACATTAGGTTTTTTGATTAGTACTACATATCTCTGCCGATGTTTCATTAATATTTGCTCTACAGGAAACATTACCTTCCAACAGTTTTCAAAATCTGATTTGTTCTGCCAGTAGAAGTAACGTTTCCCTCCCCTGACACCTTTCAGTTTGAAGTGAATGCTAAAATTAAGAGGCAATCCTGAAAGGATCCATGTCAGGAAACACTAGGTTTCTGACCTGTTCTTCGCTAACAGAAACACTTTTTTTCTGAAAGATGCCATTTCAAACTATGCCATTTTTTGTGAAAAGTGTGTCCTAAAATGTTATATGGACAGAGATGTTGGTTTTTTTCCTGCAGAATTTAAAGTCAATAATACTGTGACACAAGAAGCTGAGCTTTGCCTTTAAATGGTTACTCTATTCCCAAATTAAAGCCTCATGTTGGAGTAAACTGAAGCCTTAGGAAGATTTGCAAAGTTCACGTGACAACTATTTACGGATTTGGTGCTTCTTAGTCCTGTAATTCTGGCTGCCCTCAAGGAACTTGTGAAACTGACACTTCAGCAGAATGGCAGTATCAAAATACTGTTGAAATGAGGCAACAAGGTGCCTCTCTGGTGCAAGAAAAGGTTTTCTTTTTTGTTCTAAGCTAAAGACTTTGAAACTGGGATCCTGAATTTCATTCCACTAAACTCATTCTTATTACACAAGTAAGACTGAATGGAAGTTGCACACCATGGAAACACTGGCTGGAAAAATGATCTGTGCCTCACTGGGGAGCTGTGACCTTGACAAAATATCAATGGTCTCTGGAAATTGCAGAAGAGGGGTATATTTTTATCTCAATAAAGAAAATACTGCATTTGTTCTCCTTTGTATGCTCATGAGCTCCCTCTTCAAACTGCATCACTACATTCAACCATTTCCATAAGTCAGTTTAAAGCAAGACAGTATTTTACCTCCCTTGGTCCCTCCTGAACACACCTGATCTCATCCAATTTTGGGAGTTAAGCAGGGTCTTGTTTAGCTAGTAGTTGAGTGGGAGAGTGCTAGGGATACTGCGCGCTGTACCTCGGACGGGCTGCGAGGGAGGGAGAGCACATGATAAGCCCGAGGAAGAATTTCAGCCCCCAGCATCTCCAGGTACCCTTGTGAAAGAATTTCAGGCAGTGTATGGCAAAACTTCCTGGCCAGATCTGACACAGCTTCCCATACACACACTGCTTCATAGGAATGAATCAAGACAAAGTCATGTTTCATTCCAGTGAAATGAGTGAGACTAGTTACAAGTAACTTCAATTCCAAACTAATCAAAAGTGCTTAAGATACTCTGCCTTTGTTGGTTCCAACTCGGTTCCCAAACTGGTGCGAATTTCAGACTTGCTGCTAGTTAAGAGTTATATTTCCTCTTGCACATCAGGCATACGGTTTAGCATGCAAAAAAAATTGCAAACACCGACGTCTTAACTGTGGAATTGTTCCAATGAAATGTATGCCCTTGGACTTACACTGCCTTATTTCATTGGATTATGCCCAATGAATCTCTTCTCACTAGTGTTACTGTAATTAAAGGAGACCCAAACAGTCAAGAAACCTTCTCTGGATGACAGGAACAAGTATTTAGACATGGGTTGGAAATGCTCTTCCCCTCCAAGACATTTGTGATCCCCTCCCCAGCTTGATCTGGAGGAGAGCGCCCACCAGTGGAAAAGACAAGAGCAGGTGACACCCACCTCTTTGTAGTGACACCTGCTACAGAGAAAACCGGCTTTCCCCCCTCAACTGCCTTACAGTGTGGACCTCTTCTTTGCAGAGACGATCATCGGTTCCAAAGTACGACCCAATAGACAAAACATGCAAGAAAAAAAGTGGGGAAAAAACACCCTTGACCCACAATTCATGAAGCACTAGAATGACACAGGAAGAATTAGAAGAGAGAAACCTGCTCCGGTTCAAACACTGCTTATAGAGGTGGAATCAAAGTGTCAAGAGGGTCTCATCCCACATACCCCATTGTTGCTCTCTCCGCTCACATGGAAAATAGATGTATCCAAAGATTCTCTTTGTGTGGAGGCTCTTCACAACAACTCAAGAACTTGGAGTCGGAAGCTCACGTGGGGAGTCCTCATAAGAACAGATAGGTCTCCCCTTCAGAAGCCATGTTTTCTGCACGGAGGATGAGGCTAAGAGAGCTGAGAGCTCCCCTCTTTGTGCTAAATTCCTTAGAACTATGTAAAATCTGGATACTGTTCCAGTCCAACTAGATACATGAATATCTGTGTATCTGCATGTCTGCACATGGGTGGGTGCACATCTGTTTCCCATGGCCGCAGAAACAAGGTTTCCAAGAACAAAATCGAGCTGTAGCATACAAAAAGTATATTTATTGAACCATTTTATTCCTATTTATAACAAAAACACACTAAGACTTTTTGCTGTGGAGCAGGACAGCTACCACCCATGTGTCACAAACAGTCACGCCCAACAAGAGGACTGCCATTTGCTTGAAAGGCTCTTCAAACTGTATTTGCAGCCCCCAACCATTCCTCTCTCTTTCGCTAAACCCACAATGATGTCCTTGTCTCAGGTGGTCAACCGAGGATAAACAAGCATAAAAATGCGGGGTAAATTAGAAATAGGGGAAGCCCATCGGCACAGGCGGCCGTCTTGATTACCTCCCACATCCAGAACGTAGTATTCTACTTACGGCATGCCTGGCTGGCGTCATCATCAGTGCGTCAATTGCAGTGGTAGCCCAGCTATCGCAGCCTCGTCTCCCTGCCCCTCCAGCAAGGGGGTGACAGGACTCTCCCCATTCAGCCGGGGAGTGGGGGGGTGAGCAGGGAGATGGGGCTGCGGTAGCCGGGCTACTGCTCCAATTGGTGCATTGATGATGATGGCAGCCGCACACGCTGCACTGTAAGTCGACCAGTGGGTTCTGGGGTGGGAGGTAATTAAGACAAACGCCTGTGCCTTTCGGCTTCGCATTTGTCTACAAATACAAAGCCCCCATCTCTAAGGAAAATTCTAGGACAATCTAGAATTCTGTTCTAAATACCACTGTATTCCTTAATCTCTAGCACTCCTGTAAAGGCCCTTCCAGTAATAAACCATGATTCATCCTATGGTCAAATCCAAGGTACTATATTGTTCTTTTACATACATATATATAAAACCAAGCCACAGCATCAAATCCTTTTTATAAGCATTTCTATAAAAGCATTTACAGACCTAAAACTCCTGTGTTCAGGCCATTTAATACAGAAAGGGTAATTCCTGCTGAAACGTCTTCTAATCTGGAGAAGTGGCCTGTTCTGGAAATGCACAGAGAAGAATCTAAAAGATATAAAATACTGTGTTTCAGTTCTGACAATGCCCCCCCGTCTTACTGAAAGAAAAGAGTGTGGTACGCCAGGACGAAGCGGCCATCATGCATGAGAAGTCCACAGACATGGTTTCAAGACAGATGACCGTTTTTTTCCTCCAGCGGGATGGGAAAAAACCAAATGCCACATGTAGTAAGCATATTTTTTTTTAAAAAAAGGCCAAAAATGGTTTCTCATCTTATTTGAGTTGAGAAACTTTGGATTGCTTGACAAGGAGCAGCAAAGGAGAAAACCTTTCAAAAGAGTTATACTGAGGTGGCATTAAATACAACCAGAGACAGTTCCATCAGTATGGAAATTGCAACCAGAGGCGTTTCTGAAGCCAACTTGCTTACAGCCGTCATCTTCACTCCAGTTTCTAATCAGCGCTGTGCTATTATTTTCCCAGCAGAATCAAATACTTTTTAAGATTTTGTATCCCACATAGTTTCTAAACAAGTCCTGGAGGAGCCATTAACTGATTAAGACATTGACTGATATCCTCTTGCTTAGCACAGTAAGTCAGACTAAGAGTAGGCCCACTGAATTTGGTGGGTCAACTCCTCTATACGTTTCACTGATTCACATGTGCCTACCTTAGCACCGTACAACTAGAGTCGCACCATGTGCCTACTTTAGTTGCAACTTACCTTAGCACCGTACAACTAGAGTCGCACATGTGAACCAATGAAACGTACAGAGGAGTTAACCCACCAGTTCAGTGGGTCTAATCTAGTCTTACTACACTAAGCAGCAGGATCCAGCCATTCTGTTAACAAAGAGTGGGCCAGCAGTTTTTCACATCCACCTGCCCGAGACTTCCTTTAAAGTAAGGTGCTCAATCTCTAGAAGTCCAGGGGCACATGTGCCCATTCTGGGACCTTGGAGGGGTCATCCTGCTTGTTTTTAATGGGGGGGCGCGAGAGGTGCTGGCGGACCCTTAGAATATGGCAACATTTCCCCCTGGCCCTGGAATAAAAAAGGACTTTTTGAGCAAGACATTGCCATTGGAGGGTTGCATGAAGATCCATATGGGTTACACATGACCCAGAGAGAAGGGCGACATTATCCACTCCTGTTTTAAGAGTGGCAGCGGGAATGGAGTTCCTCCCTTCCCACGCAACAGAGTGGCTTTTTATTGTAAGTTAAATGCAGTCACCAATTCAAAGTCACAGCAGAATCAAATGTACAAACTTGAGTTAGCAGAGGGGTAGCCAGATGTAAGCAACAGACTCCGAAGCAGCAGAACAGATATACTAGGGCTGGTCTGTTTTCAAGTCTGTTGTTGCCACCACTCTAAGGATGTGGAATTTCAACTGGACATTAAAGAAGCAAATAAAACTTATTTACTACTTCCCCATCCTCTCCTTCCTTCGAAAAGCTCAAAGTGTTCCCGGCCTTACATAATCCTCCTAATAAGGTAGCTTAGATGCAGAAAAACTAACTGGAATACATTCTCTTGGTAAGTTTCATGGGCCACTCTCATTCTGCTTTATTATGGCTTTTCACTCTTCCGTTGCATTCAGGTTCTCTATGAAAAGACACAGTAAACCTAAATTAAAGCAAAGACCAAATCTCAGGAATTCTGAAACACCGGATCCCACATCCTGCTCAAAGCAAGGTAGTCACAAAGTTGCTGTCATTAATACTGTGTACCAACGAGTGCAATGAAGCGCTTATTTCATTCTATATTCCATTCTCTAAACATTTTTATGAAAAGAGGGTGTGGCAAAATCCAAGTAAAGTGTTTTTTTCTTCAGCTTAAGCACATTCATGAACTGAAAGACCCAAGAAACTAAGCTGCCTTACACAGCAATGCTTGCCAAGTGTTCTTGGACTGCAATTCCCAGAAGCCTTCACCACCAGGCCAGGGTTTCTGGGAGTTGCAGTCCAAGAACCAGCTGGGCGACCCAAGGATGGGAACCACTGCCTTATAGGGAAAGGCGGGGGAAAAGGAGGGAGTAACATATCTTACAGCTGCTCACATCCTCCTCAATGATCTATATCGGCATCTTCAAACTGTCCAGCGACAGCCGGGGCCACTGTGTCCACCTCCATTCCGTCTGAAAAAAAGAGGCAGGAACAGACTGAAAGCCCTGGAAACATGAAGCCACACACTGAGCAACCAGTGACCTCCACTGCCCAGAAAAGGCTGGCTGGAGCACTCCTCAGGAACAGACAGGACGGCAAGGGCTCAAGAAGAGGGGACACCTTCCAGGGGCTGCTCCTCGTGGCTGGTCGCCCACGGCTGCCTGGTGCCCAATGCTTTAAAGCCCTCTAAGAGGAGAAGTTACAAGGCGCCAGCAGAGCAAGAAGCCAAGATGAAGAGACTCCTTTAGAAGTCTTCAGAGCGGCAGCAGTTTTAGTTTGTCTCAGAGAAAACACACATACCAGGAGGAAAGTATGACGGCACCTTTAAAATGAACACATTTATGTCCGCGTTTCTTTTGTGGATTAATTCTTTTTAAATATAAACTGCAATTTTTTTTAAAAAAAATCTTTTTTATCCATCCTGCTTCCAATCAATACTTGAAATCTGGCAGGAATCTTCCATGTCTACTTCCCCTCCCCCCAAAAATAATTTTTCTGGCTAGCAACCGGTTCTTATCAGTTTTTATATGCTGCATTTCTCCCAAAAAGGGATCCAAAGCGGCTCCGTGACCTCTGTGTTAAGGGCAACTGTATTCCTAAACTACAAGTCAGTCCAAAATAGTTTTTTTAAGTTAACTTTTTTTTTTTAGCCACAGCTTCCTCAGGCCAGGTTGGAAGGGATCCTGGAAGTTGTATTAAAAAATCCAAACAAAACTTTTCCAAACTGTAAACCATCTCCACTCATTTCCAGCCACCGTGCAAGGGCAGAAGAACGGACAGGGAACATAGTGAGAAGAACATGGCCCGAATTCAAGCATCTACCGTCTCTCTTCTTGCCTGACTTACACCCGGGCTGCTGGCTTCTCCAGTGGATAAAGTCACTGAGCGGAGGGACGCCTAGCTGACGGTGGGTTAAAGCCGTACGAGTTCTCTTACCTTCAAAATCTTTGACCGAATCTTCCGTCCGTACCCCGGCCATGTGGTACTGAGTGCTGATGGACTGGGCCAGCATGCCTTCCAGCCTCTCCAGAGTAGCCTGGCCCTCTGCCGTTAAATGTGACAAGCCTTCCTCATACGTGTAGAACGAGGGGATATCACCTTGGCCCATTTCTGAGAAAAATAAAAGTCAAAATCCCCACGACCTTTAGACTGCAGGGTCTGGACAAGACAGTGAGAAGCGGAGTTCTTGGTCCCCCAAGATGACAGGAGTCGGATAGACATTGGAATTCAAAAAAGGATCAAAACCATTCCGGTTGAGCACAGCTGACCAACGTCACCCAACACACGCCATGGCTTTCTTTAAAAACAAGGCGGCTTTTAGTGATTGGCCAAATATTAGAGACAGGGCATGTCTCGACGCTGTCCTGAAATCCGGGGCCTAAATCACTGTTCCACAGTTATCACAGTCGATAATCGTGTGCTAATTCTGACTTATAGCAACCCTTTTCAGGGTTTTCTAGGTAGAGAGAACACTCAGAAGTGGTTTCCCCTTCCCTTCCTCCAGGGGGCGCCCTGGGACTACCGTGCAGCTTGCCCAAGGGGACACAGGCTGGCTCTTCTGGGAGGCAGAGCGGGGAACTGAACTGCCAGCCTCTGGCTCCGCAGCCAGATACATAACTCACTGTCTGGCCAACATGTTCCATACATACATTCTTTAAATAATTAAAAATGGAAATATTTATACTACTGAATCTTGGCCTAAGTACTGTCACATTCGTGTCAAACCACAGACCTGTCTTGCACAGTGTTCTGTCTTAAATTGCAGTAGCGGATACAACAGGTACCCTTTGTTTGCCCCTAACATCATGGCACACTCCTACTAATGACAGAAGTGCCATTTGATTTTCCATGCTCATTATCAACCTACAGACTTGCAGGCTTATCTAACCTTCAAACTTACAGATGATGGTATTAAAACATTCCTTTCCAAAAACAACTTCACCTAACATTTACTGCATTTGCCGGTGTACAAGATGACTTTTTGGCCCTGAAAAACATGCCTCCAAGTGGGGGGGTTGTCTTATACGCCGGGTGCACTTCCAGCAAACCCTCCCTCTCCCAGCGAAGTCACTTACCTGGTAGCAAGACCGAGTAGACCGAGCTCCTCCTTGGTAGCCTGGGAACAGCCTGACTCTAGTGCCAAACAGCTGTCGGGAAACAGCAGAGAGGCGGCAGCCATTTTGAGATGCGACCACATGGCTGCTGCCTCTACAAAATGGCTGGCGCCTCTCTGCTGGTTTCCGACAGTCAGCTGTTTGGCGCTGATGCTGTCCTTCTCCCAGCAAACCCTCGCTCTCTCCCAACAAAACGAACTCTCCCCATGATGCAGCCAAAGCAGAATCATGCATGCGGAAGAGGGGGTAGTCTTATAGGGCAAGTATATAACAAACTCTACATTTTGAGTGGAAATGTTGGGGGGTCGTCTTATACGCCCAGTTGCCTTATATGCCAGCAAATACGGTAGGTATCAAACCACTGTGTACACCAGCAAATACGGTAGGTATCAAACCACTGGCAGATGACACTTTTTAAAAAATGCCTGATGCTTAATATGGAATTATTTTTACAAATACTACAAATCAGGTTTCATGTTTCAAAAACAAGACTTGGTCAATGGCAACATGGTTTTCACCTGTTTTTCACTTCTGGAGCCAAGACAAAGATGGGAGCAATCATGGCCTATTAGGAGCTGATAATGCCCAAGACCTAAATTTAGCTGTTAGTCCCCACTGTGACCCTGATTTGGTGCTTACATAAATGGGGGCTGGCCAAAGTGTCACTGAGTCAATGGGTCTGTCATAGTTGAGATCAAGAATGGGATTTAGTTCTGACGAAACTGACAGCAAAGGTCCACTAACCATGCGCCTCCACATCATACTCATCGCCTTCATAATCGTTGTCAGAATCTTCATCTTCTGGGTCAGGATGAAGGGCCTGGCATTCACACATGGCAGAGAACATGGCTTCCACTGGAGAAAACATAAAAAAGGAAATTGGATTCAATGGCAAGCAAATTGGAGAACGAATATAATACACACACAGAAAGGCGCTCTGCCCCATCTCAGATCATTGCACCATCTAGTTCTAGAATGGGCTGCAGCCTTTCCGAATGTGGCAGCCTCCAAAAGGGATGGGAGGTGTAGCCCACACCACCATGTCTTGTCAGGATATTATGACCCACAATAAATGAATTTGCTCTGTAGGACATGAACCAAAGTTTGCTAACAGGCATCCATCTCAAAACAGCTGTGCAGCCACAGAGTCAGCACATGTAGCTGATGCAATCCATAGGGCGACACATAAAATGTGTCTTGGACATGAGGCAATCTCTGGGAGAAGACAGCAGGTACTGTGCCCAGTGATGAGTTGTTCACACTATGTAGGTGCCGCACACTATAGTGATGTGTGGAGTGTTGTGTTGGAGGGTTGCTGCACAAAGTGCTGCCCGTTTATTTGCTGAAAGCGTATTACTGAGTCTGTTGACTGATGGGCAACGTTCTATTGTACATAGTCTGTAAAGACACTGCTGGTGAAAGACCCTACTCTCTCTGTGAGTCTCTCTGCTGTCAGCCTGGAAAACTGACTTGTCCCGGAGCCCTCTCTCAGATCCCAAATCGTGACATGTCTGAAGAGTGCCAGGCTGGTTTCAGGCACAGCTCTCCCTGGGGCCTATCAGTGAGTGCCCTTTAACTCAGGGGTAGGAAACGTAAAGCCTATGAACCAATATGGGTCTCCTAGGGTTAACCTGAGGGTCACAACCCTTGCTTCACAATTTGGATCCCAGGTTTTGTATATGGAGATTTCCTGTATACTTGAAAATTTCTCTCTTCAGACCTCATTCCTCCCTCCTTTTGCTTAGAAGAGTGGCCTCAAGACATTCTCTAATCCTGAAGAGGAAGGGACCACTGTCATGCTAGAATGCTTCCTTCACAGAGGAGATTCTTCTCAGCCATCAATTCCTGCTGTTATTTCAAGTCACTGGTGCTCTGCTAGCCTCAACTCTCCTTTTATCCCCCATTATCATGGAAGCAGTGGCAAATGATGGGAGTGGTAAACTTCTGATGTGTAGCCATTCAGAATGACAGGCCAGAGGACCCAAAAATACAGGCAACTGTAGGGAAAAACAACAAACCAGTTCTAACCAGCTTCCATCTCTGATGGGAGCGGGTCTTTTGTGACTCTAAGCGGTCTTAGTTGCCTACTGAAACACCAAACACTCAATATATACTTTGCTTTATGTCAGGCAGACCTTACAAAATGTACTGCTGGCAGGAAGGTCTACCCCTGCTCAGCAATGGCAAGGAATACATTTGAACTCACAGGAAGCGGGGTTGCCTAAATCTGGGTGGAAGATGACGTCACTGTCCCTGCTAACCAAACAGTACTAGTACTTTGAGCCTTGGTTTCTAGTCACATGACTGTCTCCTGGCTGCTTCTACCAAAATGAGGCATTCTCCATTTCGACGGGCAAAACTCTTGCTTCTTCAGGCTCGCCAAACATTGTCCCCCACCCGGTTTCCCAGTACTTACAGGCCGCCTTGTCACTGGGTACAAATCTGAATTCAGAAATCGGCTGAAGCTCCTCATCGCTGTCTTCTTCCTCCTCCTCATCCTTTTCTCCGATGGGGCCTTCTTTACATTCGTCAGCTAAGGAATTAACATATTGTTGCACTGATGTTTCTGGTTAGCTTCCCCAACAGTCTACAGGCCAAAACTCTCACATTATAGATCCATTCATTTATCTATTCATTCATAAACTTGCATACTGCCCAATTAGCACTGGACACGACTCTGGACAGTTTACATCACAGAAACACAAACAGAATTATGCAGCAAGACAAAACAAATTATCAAGATATAAACTAGTGAACTATAAGGCTTCAAGTTCCTGTTTCCCATACAATTTGAATTGTAGCCGAAGGGGTTGCTCAGAGAGAAGAAAACAAGCTTTTGACAGGACTTTTTTTTAAAAGCAGGGAATAATGCCTAGAGTAGTCCACCACGACTAGATAGGCGGGATATAAACCTTTTTTTTAAAAGCAGGGAATGATGCATAAGTAATGTTACCTGTATAATTTTAAACATTCAAATGCTTTTGATCAAGATCCACTTTCTGAAGGACAATTCCTCCTTCTGCTGGCCATTGGGAGGGACAGTTGGGAGTCTGTCTCCTTATCCCTCTCTCCAACATACCCTCTAACTCCCAACTACGCTGGGCTCTACCTCCCTTTCGTACAACTTGGCTCCTGTGTGTGTGTGTGACTCCCCCCCCCCCCGCCTC